CAGAGGAATACTGACAGGGTAGAAGCTGGACTGTTTGACATCATGGCATGAAAGATCATTTGTGTCGGAACTAAGTGAAAGTACAGGCTGTTGAAAGTACTAACGCCACACGGCATGGATTATCAGACAAGGAATGTGCCTTTGTTTACAAATCGGTCAACGCTGATGCCTTGTAAGAGTCAACGCAAAGCTGTCCGTTGCCAAGTAAGGGGCAGCTGAAATGAACCCGATATGTCGGTATTATGAAACTGCATTCTAAGACACAGACGCCGATTTCTTCTTCTTCGCATTCACGGGCTCTAAATTCCAGTGGAAATTTCAGGTTGTTCGTCCACTTCTGGACTTTGGTCTTATTCTAGATCTTGAATATTGCGTGCACATCTGTTTTACAAATCTGACAAATTTATGTGCCTATTGGCTTCATCGGCTGAGTCAGATGCATACGGACTTTAAAAGAAGGATCCAAAATTAGTGGAAATTTACGACATGCTTGTTGGGGGGAGGGTAGGGGGCAGTGGATCCATTCTTTTGTTTTCCCAAAATGAATCCGTGAAGCCACACGTGAAAACATCGACAACACTGATTCATATTTCGTTTTCATTATACACAGCAAGGAAATTCAGCTCTGCATATAGCAGCCAATGGCAATTATAAGGAAGTTGCCAGGATTTTGATTGACGCCAAATGTGTGCTGGATCTCCCTAACAATGTAAGTTACCTGCTAAATGTTTTCATACAGTTGATTATACATGCCTATATTTTGGCTGTCTCTTTCTAATACCTTACCCGCCTTTCCAATAAAATTATTCTGTATCTAGGTTTTGTTTATTTGCTTTACTTTTTTTTTTTTGGGGGGGGGGGACATATCTTTACTGTCTGCATTTACCTGTTGGTGGTGTAGAACATACTTACATCCTCTAATGAAAGTAAAATTGTGACAACGGAGATTAAATGCCTCAGAGGAGCTACAAGAGTTTCAAGGTAAGAGATAGAATACAAAATCACGAAATCAGACGAATGCTAGGAATAAAGCCAGTCTTACAGGTTATCAAAAAACAACAAACGAAGTGGTTTGAACACCTAACACAAATGCCCTGGTAGTTGACAGAGTTCATTAATGAACGTTACATACCCCCCCTCCCCCCCCCCCCCCATTCCCCCCACCCCGATATTTAGCTAAGGCACAAGGTGGAAGAGAAGGGGGGGAAAGAAGAAGAAGAAATGAGCTGTAGAACATGGGAGTCGTAAGCTTGAGACTTTAGGGCCTTATGGCAAGTGTAGTTCCCACGAAATGTGCAGGTTATAATTTTTATTTTGCCCCCCTACAGGTGAAAACAATTTCCATTCCTTACATATGATCGAAGTTGGGTCTCCCATATGAGAGCTTCACGTTCTAACAATCATTGGGCACAAAAACACATGACTGCATAGTATATTACGTCACTTATATACACCTTGTTGAAAGCGACCATTAAATAATTTACACTCGTATTTTATATTCCTGTATTATTTTTGGCAGTGCAAGTATTACTGAATTTTTCACATCTGGCAAACTGCAAAGCATTACTTACATGGTGCCACTGTCAACAACTATTACTTATAATTGAGCTAGCGGGAATCGAGAAGGGGGAAAAAGGGAGGGAGACGAGAAAGAACAGATAGGGAATTAGGACAATAAGTAGCTCCCCGCTGAAGTGCAAAAACAGCAAAAGTAAAGAAACGACAAGGGTTATTATGGTGCAGGAACCACGACATATTTTCATGACCCAGACAGCGAATGTGTGAAAAATGAGTTAAACATCAACAACGACCACATAAAACCACATAGGCAGCACCTATGCAGACCATGTGCATGAACTGCAAGAACTATTCTAAATCAAACAAATGGAATATAATAATTACAAAACCATGTGCTAATCACTCTAGCGACAAAAAAAATGAGAGCTCGACTTCACTTTAAAGAAACCTACTATCAAAACTCTCCGCGTGAGGATACACATGGAAGTCTATATCTAGCACAATATATCTACTGAAAGCACCGCCAAAACACGAAACTCAAGAGCCAGTTCATCTCTCTCGATTCAGCCCGCCGTACCTAAGTTGCATTGAAAACCAAGTACGGCTCGGCAAACGATGGATGTGAACATCTACCTAGTGCGACTGGTGAGACCAACGAGAGCGTTTTCTCCTCTGTCAGACCTTATATCAACTTTTCAACTCTCCGGGCATTCCTTCGAGTTCCAGTCAGCAAACCTGCAGGCTAAAGTGCAAAACAACCAATACATAACGATCAACTTCTTTGACCAACGAACATTAGGATACTTGACTGATTAAAGTTTTTTTTTTTTTTACCTCCAGTAATTCTTCCCAGATCTGTTCTTCCAGGATCTTGTTACCTCAGCCGCTTGGCTTATAAGAGACGTTATTGGTCATACCTAGACCTGAGGGCTGTAGTGGACAAAATCCGGCAATACCTCGAACGAAGGCCTAAAAATTGACATAATCGGACATAACTCGGCCGAACGCCTGCAATGGACAGGATATGACATACCTCGGCCAAAGGCCCGAAATATATCAGACATAACTCGGCCGAAGGCTTATAGTTGGCATGATCTGGCAGTCCTACATTGTACTAGACAATTTGCTTCTTCCTCCACCTCTTTTTATCTCCGGTTTTTCTCGTACATGGCTTAACAAAGGACAGTGCTAAGGGACATCACAGGTTAAAAGGTTATACCTTACTCAAGACTCCCTAACATGAACAGACCTAAAATTTAACCTGACATGGAAACAGAATAACAAATAAACTGAACCCATACTTATGTCCGGCTCTAGACACAAGCCATTTCTTAGTGAATGAGAGATACAAACAACTCCTTAGGGAACAATGGGCACAAACTACTCCTTGATGAACAATACAATTGTTGCGTAACATCGAACCTACACACATAACAAAAGTGTACAATATAGAAGCCCCACGATGGGCGACATTTTTGGGCTAGCGGGAAGAGAAAATGGAAAAACAAGGAGGGTAACGAAGAAAGAAATGTGGTTAGGACTGCAAAAACAGGACAAGTAAATCCCAACCAAGGGTTATTTTGGTGCGGGAACCATGACATATTGCTCATAAATATGTGAAAAGTGAGTTTGTAATAACCACAATATAAAAATACAAAGCAGTACCATGTGCACGAACTACAAGTTCTTTTCTGACTCAGACAAGTGGAATATAATCATCTCATGCAACATCTGTGTTTTTTTTTTTTTATGAGGCCAGCCGAATCACATATCTTGGAGTTGTAATTGGCGAATGGGGATATTAAGATAGAGCTCACTAACTGAAAAGCAGCAGCTGTGAGACTTTTCTGGGCTATAAACCGTGCGTTTCTCAGCCTAAATGAAATTGGCAAGAGGACGAACAATTGCTATATACCTTTCTACTTATTTGCCAGTCCTGACCTACGGGTGTGAGTCAGCTCACAGAAATTATCTTCAGGCCTCAGACATGAGATATCTGGGAAAGGTGGTCCAAGTGACAAGAAAGGGAAAAGTTCGCAACAAGGCAGTACGTAAAGATCTTGAAACCGAAATCAAGTGGATCCGTCACAATTACGATGGTTTGGACATGTATGCAGAATGATAGAATCGACCCCTATGGCAGAAATGGAAGTAAAAGAAGCAGGAAAACAGACCACTAGGGCGACCCAGGGTTCGCTAGAAAGACAACATACGACAGTCCATGACTGACAGAGGACTGGAATGAGGGGAAAAACAGAAAGAAAAAATGCATATAGAGAAGTGTTGCCATCTCCCTGCAAACCTTTACACACCACGGTAGAAGAGGATTGACTAATTAAGTAAGTAAAATAAGATTCTAACTAGGCGACCCTACCGTGTGATCTTCTGTTTCTCAATAATTTGGTGCATAACGTTGATCTCACAGTCTGGTAGTATCATTTCTCATTTTGTCTGGGATTGTTACGTTGGCGACTTTCCTCAGGCACCTCATCACACATGTGGCAATTTTTCGTAGGTTAGTCTTTGATAATGTCCAAGTTTAATAAGGATATCATTTACAAGAATTATGGGATAAAAGATATATCAATTTCAATAACTGCATGCTACGACATAAATATCCTTTTCGAGAACTGTTTACCAGAAAGAGTGTAATCTACAGGATCTATTTTCGGTATTCCCCCTCCAGGACTACAAAAAAGATTAACACCCAGCTCAATGTCCCTGAGTCCCCTGGTTCCAGTCACATGATTTGTTTGCTTACTAGAGGAGGGGAGGGAAGAGAGAGAGAGAGAGAGAGAGAGAGAGAGAGAGAGAGAGAGAGAGAGAGAGAGAGAAGGAGAGAGAGAGTAATTCTATATTTTAAAAGAAAATGTCATCAGAATAACGATTGTATTTCACCTTTCACTTTTCATTGCAAATATTCACTTTTCTTTTAATTCAAATATGCATAAATTGTTATCTATTGTTGCTGATGTAATACGTTCCTGTATTTTTCAACACAATCCACCAGAGAATGCAAACTCCTCTCCATATTGCTGTGGAAAATGGACATTTGGATGTTGTTGAAGTACTGCTGGCTGGGGGAGCAAGCCTTGATACCAGAGAGAAGGTTGGATGGTTGTTTAGTTGCTTGTCTGTTTGGTTAGTTGTCTGGCTGGTTTGATTTTTGGTTGGTTGAATGTTAAGTTTTTTGGGTAGTTTATTTTCATGGTTGATTGGTTGGTTGTTTATTTTACTGTTATTTTTTTTTTCTGTTTGGTTGGTTGGTTGTTTAATTGTTGCATTGTTTCATTGGTTGGTTGGTTGATCTTTGGGGTTGATATCTTTGTTATGTTGATTGTTTGCTAGTTTGGTCGGTTAGTTGGCTGATTGGTAGGCTGGTGGTTAATTGGTTAGTTGATTGTTTCCTTGGTTTGCACATTCTCTTCTAGATAAGTGATGTTTAAACTCCTACATGAGCTAAAAATTATCTAACATCCACTGGAGTTAAACTGGTATAGAGACTTTTCTCTTATTGTGATACAAATGGACCTCCTAGATTAGACGTGTCGCAAAGTTCTCCTTCCCATCTCCAAACTCAATCAGCAGTGAATTTGTATGTCCACTATTAAAACTGTTGTGGCTACATACGAATGTGAGTCGTGGACTATCTCTCAGTCCTTAAGAAAGAGAATAGGGGCTTTTGAGCTGAAATGCTATAGAAAGATTCTCAGAATATCTTGGACAAAGAAGGTGAGAAATATTGATATCTTAACAGATCTGAACATCAAGGAAGATTGGCTAATAAACAGCATCCTTTCTCGAAAGCTGAAATATTTTGGTCATATCAAGCGCCAGGACGGATTGGAAAAAATTTTGAGGCGGGGGAACTGGCAAGAGACCGAGTTTCTTACAGACAGACTGTGATGAGAGCGACGTTCTGCAAAGGACCTGCTACATGATAATGATGACTATTAAAACTACACATCTGCGGAAAATTAAATTGTAACCAGGTCATATTTCAACACAGTACACACAACCTATGTATGCTGGGGTGCCGAGTTCTGTCCCTGCTGCGGATGGTTTGTTTTCCGCTGGTTTTGACAGTGGTACCGAAAGCTGACCGTTCAAAAAGCAATGGCAAACTACTGAAAGTAAAATGTGCCTAAAAGACCACAACAGCCAATAAATGCTGGGGTTGGTTCCGCAACGTCCTGTAAAGGATAGGCAACTAACTAACTTTTACCATACAGACTAACTGATATAAGGCACTAGGTTGGTAATGTTTTCTGCGCAGGTTATAGGTAATTCACTGTAAATAAACTCCAGCCCAATTCCCTGAGTTAAAGGAATGTAGTATGTTCTAAAATTATACCAGCAATTGCTGTGGACCTGTGAAAGGAGAAACTGTATATAACTAATATTGATTCATATTAAAATGGGAGTAAATATTGTTACGATGTGAAAGCAAATATAAACTGGCTAAAACTGCAGCTGTTGGAGGTAACCGGTGACAAGCCTGAAGTGATTCATGGTAAATAATTAGAACAAGTAATCGTTCAAGGCTGGGTCATGACCTCTAAAGTGGGTCATGGTTGGGTCGACCTGGGAATTAAAGTCATTTTTTTAAGTCCTGCTTTGTCAGGACCCGAACCTACGACCTTCTGATTCGCAGACGAACATCTAGCCACTACACCACGGCGACCCCCAAAGTAAGATAGTTTATGTAAATTAATATTTCATGAATAAAACTTGAAAATATTGTATATATTATTACCGATATGTTTCACTCATTTCAGTCTGGTAAAAGCGCCTTGCAACTTGCAGCCAGAGGCAACTACGTTGCTGTTGTTGATATGCTAATCAAAGCGGAACGATATTATGCAAATGCTAGAGTGAGTATACAGAAACTGCAATTATGTTGTTGATGTTTTTTAATTCTTAATTTATTTTTAGCAAGGCTTTTTGTGGATGATTAGCATACGAAATTTTCAGTTATTTTCATAATATCGTTTTCTTCTTTTTCACGTTCATCGGCTCTAAACTCCGGTGGAAAGTTGTGATTATTTGTCCACTTTGGATTTTTGTCTTGTTATAGAATTTGAGTGTTATTGCATGCACATCAGTTTTATATATTTGACTTATCTTAATGCAGACTGTTTGTTTTATTGCCTCTCAGGCAGATACGCTCCGACTTCGACGGAAACTCCTAACAGTTTATGAGAGAAATAGAAAAATATTGCACATTATTTCCAAGTGTGATTACCTGCATTGTTGTTGTGTTGGAATCCACTGGTATTCTAGATGTGATGCATTCAAAGCAAGTGGAAATCAAAGAGAAAACTGAAAAGCTAAACATCGCACAATAATTTGAAAAAATATAGCAAACCAGGTCAGAAGTAGAACTGGGGAGATTACTAGTAACGAACTCGGCCCATCTACACACTAGCTGACATTTCAATTATGCTTGTTCAGGCTGGTCAACGCTGCTCAATGTTAGAGGGGTGTCCTGGTGTACTGCTGTATTCAAAAAGTTTTGTGCGTTGCGTGTTAATCGTCCTTTAGTGAGCAGCACCGCCCACATAGCGTTCTCATTCGTAAGCAGAATGATGGTTTCATGATAGGTATATGAGAGCTGTCTTGGATTTTCAATTAGGGAATGAGTTGATTCTAGCTGTCAGCGTTGGCGGGCGACGATTGGGTACAGCTGCATGTCTGCAGCAACACGGCGTTTTAGTGCCACCGCAAAATGTGAAGAAATCTGAAGTCACAGGTCATAGGATGCACTCTCTCGTGGGACCTAGGTTCAGAGTGTGGGGTGGGGAGGAGTGGCGGGGGTTAGGGCCGGTTGTACATGTCATTGGGTCTTTAAAAGCGCTTACATCCTGTAATACAGAGCATGCGTGGTCGCTGGTAAAACCGTCGACAGAATGCAACCTGGCGCGACAAGCTGACACCCCTGCCACTTAAACTTGAGCATCTCAAAGTTGAAGACGCATGAATGAACGTCCTATCAAAGTGTCCTGGCTCGACTTCGTCACTCATAAGTGGGTTGATGGGCCTGAGTTTGTTACATGCTCCCTGATTAGGTTCACATTACCACAATCACGAATGATAAATGAACGTTGCAGGAAGAAAACCTTCGTCTGCATACGTCACAAACAGATAGTAAAACAATTTAAAAAAAAAAAAGAATGCGGAAAATCAATTGCAAAAATAAAGATGAAAAGCTGCTTGGTTGGGGCGCCGAAAAATTTAATATAGCGGTAACCTCGGTTCATCAACGCCTCTAGACCAGAACAAATCGGCCCCTGAACACAATTTCCGAACAAATTTAGACTCGACCCGCGAACAATACCCCGGCCTACTACCAGTAGGGAATGGGCGCCGTGTTTTCAGCTCCTGAACAGCATAATTTGGTAGTATAGGTTTGGGCCCTGTAAATTTAGTTTAACGTTACTTTTTTTTTTTTTTTTTAAATTAACCCTCAGGATAGCTCCTAAGAAAATGAAAACGTATATTGACAGTGGTGCAATAGAAACGAAGCGGGAAATAATAACTAAATAGAAGAATGAGAGGTGGAAGAGGTGGCACATAGTAAAAGTAAAAGTAAAGTAAAGATCTCTTTTCACGCCATAGGCGCATCGGGCGTATAGGAAGAGCACCCATATTTTTACAGACCAATCGGCTGTAGGAGGGTAATTTGGTCAGTATTACGCCGGCCGTCTTTACTTCTCCAGGACACACATCCTGATACCCATTTTAGGCTGGGTTGCCCTGCGACGTCTTATACTACGATACAAATCCACGCAGCCGGCAGTGGGTTTCGATCGCGGTACGTTGGAATTACGAGTCGGACTCGTAACGCCTTAGCTACGGACGCCTCCATGTTTTCAAGTGCTCAGATTAAAGAACTCTGTAGCGAGTGGAGTGAAGTGCGGGTTTTCATTGAAAATCATCGCCTTAAATAAAAAAAAATTACCTGCAAAGCAGTATACAATGTGATGTCCCATTTTCGAAAAATTATTCAACAAATAAAACAAGATCGTTATTTTGTGAAAACACCAGCCACAAAGCCAGCAGTCGAACTACACTTCCTAGGATACAAACAAGAGAGAGAAAATAACACCAGAAATGTCTGCACAGTTGTTTAATTCATTAATTTCAATTGGGAAAAGTGTTTTGGTTGGCGAACATTTATGTCAAATAACTAATTAAGTTCGTTGCCAGATGCACCGCTGTGTTTGTACATGAGGGTGTATTTGAAACAAGGTTGGGGAAAAAACATTGTCTATCGTCATCATCAATATCATGTAGCAGATCCTTCAGAACGTCGCTCTCATCACGGTCTGCTTGAAAAAAACTCGGTCTCTTGCCATTTCTCCCGCCTCATGTACTTTCATACTCAAGGAGTCACTTATATCCTGTTCCCATCTCCGTGTCGGTCGGCCCCTGCCCCTCCTTCCTGGTACCATGCCTTCTGCTATAATTGTTTCCAATCCGTCGTGGCGCTTGATATGACCAAAATATTTTAGCTTCAGAGACAGGATGCTGTTTATAAGCAAATCTTCTTTGATGTTAAAATCTTTCCAGGTGTCAGTATTTCTCCTCTTCTTTGTCCAAGATATTCTGAGAATCTTTCTATAACATTTCAGCTCAAAAGCCCATGTTCTCCTTCTTAAGGACTGGGAGATAGTTTACGACTCACATCCGTATGTTGCTACAGGGAAGATGCATGCTCTCAAAATTCTAATTTTAATCTCCTTGTTGGTGCTTAATTGTCTATCGTACTATGTAGAAACAGGTGCAATTTTTAATCTTCAGGAATATCATGATAAAGACGTCGGTTACGTCGACCCAGACACCTACCTCAGGAACCCCCAACATCCCCATGCTGCACAAATGAAGGATGTTTTATGGAAACTCGCAACAAAACAACTGAAACCCAACGACTGGAAAAAATTGGCCTATCACTGGCGGTTTACGCCAGATCATGTCAAGGCCATAGAGCAAGAATACACAGGTACACAAATAAAGTTCTTCAGTTCCTTTTCAGTTGTTTCTTCTTCTTATTGGCAGTCGAATTAATCAAGTAACAGAAAGTATTGTGAACGGCACTCATAGAAAGAAGTAGAAAGATAGAAGAACACACTAGACAACATAAAAATCGAAAGCTATAGTTACCGTGCCGGGAATTGAACCTGTCACCTCCAGACGGCGTCTGCGCCTCGCCATGAATACAAGTGCACTAAGATACATGGTAAACTAGGCACCCCCCAAAAAAGGTGTCGCATTGGCCACTAAGTCGATGTGAACGATTTGTAATGCCGGGGTACCGCCTTGCGTTTGTTTCGACAGTGGTATCAGGGAACCGACCGCCCAGGAAGCAATGGCAAACTACTGGACGTAAATTTGCCTAGTGAAACCACACAACCGCCAGGGGCTGTTGGGGTTGGTTCTGCAAAATCCTGTAAAGGATACGCAACTAACCTTTTATTAACCTTGGCAAGTTTGTGTCTTTTTAGACAAGCGGTTCTCAACCTACGGGTCGCGACCCTTTTTTTTTTGGGTGGAACAACCCTTTTACATGGGTCGGCTAAGACCATCAGAAAACATATATTCATTGAAGTTATGAAGGGAAATAATTGTTTGGGGGTCGCCACAACATGAGGTTGGGAGCCACTGTTACACTATGCTATAACGAGGCACTGGAATCATTGCCTTTGGAGATACCAATTGAGGCCAGTGGTGCAGTTACTCATCTCCATAGCACAAAGCCTGGGTAGAAGTGTAAAGACCAGTGGTGCTTTAACCTTTAATTGTCTAGGGTCAGGGAGGGATTTAGGGGGGAGGGGTCTTAAATCTTGTTTAAGTACACAATAATAATTATTGTAATAATAATAATAAATATTATTGGTACATTCATTAGTATGTGCTGAAAGGCAGATAAATATAATATTTAAAATAATATGACATGCTTCGACTATCTCCTGCGCTTGCATTGGGAAGACCCAAGCTTGGTTCTCGGTAACTTTTATTATGTGGAAAAGGGGGGAGGAGGGCAAAATTAATATCCTAACACCCCCCCCCCCCCTTTTTCCCCTTTTCCTCCCACCGTCCTAAAGCCATGGAAATTGGTAAATGAAGGCAAATTTTTATTTTTATTTTTATTTTGAAAGAAAACATGAGGCTCTTTAACGCATTAATGAACCGCCCAACTGGTTACTCTGTTAGGTACAACCAGTTACAAAGAACACAGTTACAGATTGCTCAACATCTGGTTACATGGAGTCAGGAAAGACGAGAATCTACTTAAGCTGCTCTTTGAGGCCTTGGTTGCTATTGATAGAAAACATCTTGCAGGTAGATAACATAACTTTTCAGGTGTGTGCATATGTCTGTGTGTGTGTGGGGGGGGGGGGGATGAGTACAGGGGTGGTGGGGATGGTATGAGTACAGGAGTGGTGGGTGGTATGAGTACAGGGGTGGTGGGGGTGGTATGAGTACAGGGTGGTGGGGGTGGTATGAGTACAGGGGTGGTGGGGGTGGTATGAGTACAGGGGTGGTGGGGATGGTATGAGTACAGGGTTGGTGGGGTGGTATGAGTACAGGGGTGGTGGGGGTGGTATGAGTACAGGGGTGGTGGGGGGTGGTATGAGTACAGGGGTGGTGGGGGTGGTATGAGTACAGGGGTGGTGGGGGTGGTATGAGTACAGGGGTGGGGGTGGTATGAGTGGTATGAAGTACAGGGGTGGTGGGGGGTGGTATGAGGTGGTATGAGTACAGGGGTGGTGGGGGTGGTATGAGTACAGGGGTGGTGGGGGTGGTATGAGTACAGGGGTGGTGGGGGTGGTATGAGTACAGGGGTGGTGGGAGTGGGTGGTATGAGTACAGGGGTGGTGGGGGTGGTATGAGTACAGGGGTGGTGGGGGTGGGTATGAGTACAGGGGTGGTGGGGGGTGGTATGAGTACAGGGGTGGTGGGTGTGTGGTATGAGTACAGGGGTGGTGGTGGTGGTATGAGTACAGGGGTGGTGGGGTGGTATGAGTACAGGGGTGGTGGGGGTGGTATGAGTACAGGGGTGGTGGGGGTGGTATGAGTACAGGGGTGGTGGGGGGTGGTATGAGTACCAGGGGTGGTGGGGGTGGTATGAGTACAGGGGTGGTGGGGGTGGTATGAGTACAGGGGTGGTGGGGGTGGTATGAGTACAGGGGTGGTGGGGGTGGTATGAGTACAGGGGTGGTGGGGGTGGTATGAGTACAGGGGTGGTGGGGGGTGGTATGAGTACAGGGGTGGTGGGGGGTGGTATGAGTACAGGGGTGGTGGGGGTGGTATGAGTACAGGGGTGGTGGGGGTGTGGTATGAGTACAGGGGTGGTGGGGGTGGTATGAGTACAGGGGTGGTGGGGGTGGTATGAGTACAGGGGTGGTGGGGGTGGTATGAGTACAGGGGTGGTGGGGGTGGTATGAGTACAGGGGTGGTGGGGGTGGTATGAGTACAGGGGTGGGTGGGGGTGGGTATGAGTACAGGGGTGGTGGGGTTGGTATGAGTACAGGGGTGGTGGGGGTGGTATGAGTACAGGGGTGGTGGGGGTGGTATGAGTACAGGGGTGGTGGGGGTGGTATGAGTACAGGGGTGGTGGGGGTGGTATGAGTACAGGGGTGGTGGGGGTGGTATGAGTACAGGGGTGGTGGGGGTGGTATGAGTACAGGGGTGTGTGTGGGGGTGGTATGAGTACAGGGGTGGTGGGGGTGGTATGAGTACAGGGGTGGTGGGGGTGGTATGAGTACAGGGGTGGTGGGGGTGGTATGAGTACAGGGGTGGTGGGGGTGGTATGAGTACAGGGGTGGTGGGGGTGGTATGAGTACAGGGGTGGTGGGGGTGGTATGAGTACAGGGGTGGTGGGGGTGGTATGAGTACAGGGGTGGTGGGGGTGGTATGAGTACAGGGGTGGTGGGGGTGGTATGAGTACAGGGGTGGTGGGGGGTGGTATGAGTACAGGGGTGGTGGGGGTGGTATGAGTACAGGGGTGGTGGGGGTGGTATGAGTACAGGGGTGGTGGGGGTGGTATGAGTACAGGGGTGGTGGGGGTGGTATGAGTACAGGGGTGGTGGGGGGTGGTATGAGTACAGGGGTGGTGGGGGTGGTATGAGTACAGGGGTGGTGGGGGTGGTATGAGTACAGGGGGTGGTGGGGGTGGTATGAGTACAGGGGTGGTGGGGGTGGTATGAGTACAGGGGTGGTGGGGGGTGGTATGAGTACAGGGGTGGTGGGGGTGGTATGAGTACAGGGGTGGTGGGGGTGGTATGAGTACAGGGGTGGTGGGGGTGGTATGAGTAGAGGGGTGGTGGGGGTGGTATGAGTAGGGGGTGGTGGGGGTGGTATGAGTAGAGGGGTGGTGGGGGTGGTATGAGTAGAGGGGTGGTGGGGGTGGTATGAGTAGAGGGGTGGTATGAGTAGAGGGGGTGGTGGGGGTGGTATGAGTAGAGGGGTGGTGGGGTGTGGTATGAGTAGAGGGGTGGTGGGGGTGGTATGAGTAGAGGGGGTGGTGGGGGTGGTATGAGTAGAGGGGTGGTGGGGGTGGTATGAGTAGAGGGGTGGTGGGGGGTGGTATGAGTAGAGGGGTGGTGGGGGTGTATGAGTAGAGGGGTGGTGGGGGTGGCATGAGTAGAGGGGTGGTGGGGGGTGGCATGAGTAGAGGGGTGGTGGGGGTGGCATGAGTAGAGGGGTGGTGGGGGTGGCATGAGTAGAGGGGTGGTGGGGGTGGCATGAGTAGAGGGGTGGTGGGGGGTGGCATGAGTAGAGGGGTGGTGGGGTGGCATGAGTAGAGGGGTGGTGGGGGTGGCATGAGTAGAGGGGTGGTGGGGGTGGCATGAGTAGAGGGGTGGTGGGGGTGGCATGAGTAGAGGGGTGGTGGGGGTGGCATGAGTACAGGAGTGGTGGGGGTGGAGAGCTGACACAAATTTGGGATCATCGTATTTAGCATCCTACTACGCCATTTATAAGTCATATAGGATTTGATTTGACTTTACTTGTTTGCGAAAAAAAAAAGATAAAAAATCGTCACGTTCAATCAGCATCCCAATAAGGTGGGAGCTTTTGGTTATAATTATTACTAGGTTTATGTGCGCCATATAAAACTGCTTGTCCTTGCTCACCAGCAAGTAGCCATGAAAAGGACTCTTGTAGTGTTGATGCGATCAAGAGAGACAGACCCAAATACTGTCCCGACCGACGACGAAGCCGTCTACCGGCGAGCCAGTCAACAACCTGGTTGCCAATGTCCTGAAAACTGCCTAAACTTTTAAATATCAACTAAACCAGCCACTGCATACATAGGGCACCTGATCGTATGTTTATATTTATTCAGTGGATCAACATCATGGCACACGGGTGTAACATTTTTTTTTTTTTAGAAAAGCACCTATCTACCTAGTTTTTATGAAAGAGCGTCGACGGTTAAAATCCAGAGGATCGATTTCCTTGCACTGAGATTGATCTCATATGGCTCGATTTCTCTTCAGAAAACTGCTAGCCCACCGTCGCGAGCGTCGCACACAAGAATTATATCGTTCCATTAACGATCTCCTGGGATCACTGTAAGAACTGAATTAGTGAACTGAAAGAAGTGCCCATGAAATGAATCCAGGACCTTCAGAGCCCGATGCCAAGGGTTTGGTGACTTCGCCAAGGAGACCGCAAAGCTATTTTACTGTTCGCATCCCTAATCGAGAGCTCATATCTTTACAAATATGGGCCGAGAATCATTTACCTAGTACGCCTATGGAAGAAAAAAGACTTATAGTTTATTAAAGGTTCTTTGTTGTTTTGGATTGGACAAAATTATAGCAGAAGGCAAGGTACCAGGAAGGAGGGGCAGGGACCGACCAACACAAAGATGGGAACAGGATATAAGTGACTCCTTGAGTATGAAAGTACGTGAGGCGGGAGAGCTGGCGAGAGATCGAGTTTCTTTCAGACAGACCGTGATGGGAGCGACGTTCTGCAAAAGACCTGCTACATGATGATGATGATGTTATTACAACTATAGGGTGTTTCTAAATCTCTCAACTGTCGACATTTTTTTTAAATACTCATAACAACGTAGGTTTTTTAAATCGTGGGAAATTATAAAGAAGAGAAGAAAGGGAGTAAGAAAGAACAAAGAATTTGTCAGCTTTACGAAATCGATCACATTGAACAAAGGACGTTGTGGCGATTAGCCTTCATCAGCACTTAAAGAATATCACAGCACACATACACACAAATGCACTAACTATTAAGTGACTACATAGGACTATAATGTACTAAATAAATTATACTCATCTGTGCCAATGGCAAAAAACTTCGTTCAAGAGTATGAACAAGACAGGTACTAACCTATCTATAACAACGTACTGTGTCACCAGAGTTGTGTAAGTAAAGGACCCTTTTCCGCGCCTTCATGTGTATTGGGTACATAGAGCTAGACCTATATTTTATAGACGAATCGGCACTTAGTGGGTGATGTGCTCAACAAAGACCACGGCGACTTCCAAGAGTCATATTGTAACAAATATTCAGCCACTGTGAATGTAGATCTGGAAAGCTCTATACATATCCTATCAATTTATCTTATACTTTTTATTCTTTTTCTTCTCTTCTTTGCATTCGGTTTCGAAAACTCAAATCAGACCATTAGGTGGGTGGCCTCTATGGACTCGCTAGTCAGTAGCAGGTCCTTCGTGGTTGCCCACAGCTTGCTTTGCACACTTTGCTCTTGAGGCCAGGTGTCTTTTCGAAGTTGTATGTAGAGTGGGCAGGTCTGCAGAATGTGCTCAGGTCTTTGTGGTCCTGTTTGACAGGCACACCGTGGTGAGTGTACAATCTTCATTTTATGCATGTGATAGTTGAGCCTGCAGTGTCCTGTTCGTAAACGGAAAATTGTTGTATGGTTTTATTATCTACTTTTACACCGTTCACTTTTGCAGAAAGTGTCAGAAGAAAAGTCAACCTCCAAGCAGAGAAACCATGTTCTCCTTCAGTTTGTGCAGTGTCCTGACTGTGCCAGACAGTAGGGGCCCATCTTAAAGTACAGAATGAGCAGCACCTACTGTGAAGAAAGCCCTTTCTGTGGACACTGAGACAGAAAGCCTGTTTCTGAATACTCAACTGAAAGAACTGCTTATCCTTGTTCTTGCATTTAAAGAACACTGGCGAGATAGCTCAAGGGTTCAGTTTACCAGTTAAAAAGCATCATTTACTGGCAAAAACAGAAGACAGGTTAACACCAGAGATAAAAACTAAAGGCTTAACAATTGTAATGTTCAAGTCGCTATTTATCTGATAAGAGACAAAAGAGAAGAGATCGTTGATGTGACTTTACAAATGAATGTCATTTTTATTGTGACAAAAGTTTTGTTGAAATCACTATTGGTGTGACTAGACGTAAAAGAGAAGATGTTGTTTATGTGGTCAGAGGTACCCCAAAAAAAGTAAATGTAACTATTAACGTGAGAAGAGATTTGTTAAAACCGGCGAGAGATAAAAAAAAAAGAAGCCACTGTTGATGTGACCAGCATTTAATTTTAAAAAATCAATGTCATTAATCACTATTAATGCAACAAAAGTTTTGTTGAAACCACTATTCATGTGACAACAGATAAAAGAGGTCTCAATGTTAATGTTATAGGAGATAAAAGAGAACTCACTGTTAATAGAACAAAAGTTTTATTCACAACGTGACATGATAACAAAGAGAAGGCTCGTTTCTGTGAACAGAGATAAAAATGAAGACATTAATATGGCTAGAGATAACGGTTAAATAGTCATCAATATGACAAGAGGTAACAATGAAATAGTTATTACTCTGTTATAACACGGACACTACCACTAACATGAATGACAATTTTACCTATCGTTCATAGGCATAATGACAAACGTGATATTCTAATGATCCCCCTGTGGGATGCAGTTTTCGTTATTTTGAAGCCCCACCCTGGCTCTTGCCAGGAGCCGCAATATAGCCCGGCTATAAATATTGCCTAATGTTTCCGGGACCTCTCCACGGGTGATACTCATCCACATGATGGCACTTTGTGTCGTCGGGTGCTTATCGCTTGTGTGATGTCCTAGTGGGGTAAAATTTACTACTACTACTGACAAACGTCAACATGAAGTCATTTGTCAAACTGGAATAAATAAAAGACTTGAGATGGATAAATGTGACTGCGCTTGCATTAGGAATGCAAAACTTTTTTTTAAAAATTGAAAGTATAAACAGTGAAAGTTAGTTGATTAGCATGTGCTAAAGTGGTTTTATGCAATTTTATCTATTCTGGAGTTGTTAAAGCTCAATTAGATTTTCTTAATCATGTTTGTTTCTTATACATTTTTCTTTTCATCTTTCTTTCTTTGCTACTACTCTTCAACGTAGTGTGTAGAAGACAGCTGACTTGTGAATTTGTTCACCTCACACACAGACACATAGACGTTCTAGCTGGGCTATGTGGGACGAGCTAACCAATTTGATATCAGTGGAGATGTTAATGAATAGAGAGTGGCACATTAACTCTAGAATCATGATTCATGTAGGTGGGTTAACTCTCAAATACGCCATGAAGAGTACAGGTTTACCACTAGTGCCAGAACAATGGTAGTGTGGCGATATGCGTTTCCCACAGTAGGTTCATCAACCCTAAGGAAAGTAAAGGACACTTTTCGAGGCCTTCATGTGTATTTTGTATATATGGCTAGACCTATCGCCACTTGGTGGGTAATAGGGTCAACATTACACCGACCACCTGTACTTCCCAGGACTTCACCTACTTTCCAATTAAGGATAGGTCAAAAATGGGATCACTTTGGACAGAAACATTGTTTTTTTTTTAAAGACCTTGGCTCCCAGGTCGACCCCTCCTTGGGTAGTTACAATGTAAAGTCTTGGAAAGTAAAGGTGACCAGCATGATGCTGACCATTTCATTTACTGAACTATAAAATATAGGTCTAGAACTGTATGCTCAATACTTCAATTGTACTCCCATTGTCAATTCGGTGACAATGTAGAGATTGAAAAAGGGGTGCAGGGAATTCTATGGTATCATAGTTTATTTAAGTTTATCACTACTGTGAGGATGCTGTAAAGTGTTGGTTTAGTGCCATTGTCCCTCAGGACCAAAACCATGAGACTTCAATGAGCTTCTAATATTACTGCTGACAACCAGCGCTACTGTGCAGTCAAAGTAAACAGCTAGATAATCACTCTGAACTACAGCACAGCTGATTCAAACACAAAGTGAAAAAACAATTTTAAAAAATGTCATGAGTATAGGAAGAGAACTCAGAACCATCAACACAAAGATAAAAGATCAATGCTTCAAACAAGTGCACGAACTCAAAGGCTTTGGGACCATCTCGGGGTTAAGTGGTAGACTAGACACAGAAATGGAAACAAGAATCTAGCTAGGCTAAATGTCACGTATCGGATGTCGAGATGCTGAACTACATGTGGCGGCACACTAGGACTAGGTGTCGTACTTATAAAGACCTATCTACATCTCCACTGTTATCTTGGAAACAAGTTCCCAACCGGAAGCCTGACCAACGTAGATAGGATCGACATTTCCTTTGAATTCAGAGTGACAAGGAACCATGAGTCTGCACACAGATAAGCCAAATCTGCAAAAAGGGTGTGAATGCAAAACACTCATGGCCTGAAACAAGACCAAACTCCAGAAGTGAAGAACAACCAGAAGAAGATTCCAACTTTAGGTTACCAGTGTCACACTTGTTTATTAACCAAAGAAAACCGCAAGGACACGAGAGAAAACTAACCACCTGTGAAATGAGATGTTTAAGGAAGGCTGTGGACAAAACAAGACTGACAAAGGAAGAGATTAGAAGACCTACTGGAACAATACTCATCTTGAAACTGAAAAGGTTCTGTCACCCAGTCAGAATGAATCTAATGAGGCTAGCAGCGAGAGCATACAGCATGAGAATGGAGGCACCAAGAGGCAGATGTAGAAGATGGATTGAAGGAGTCACTGACAACCTAAAACTTTACAATATCACAGAATACCAAGCAATCAAATGCTGGGCTTCATATCGTCTTTTAAAGAAGTCACATTGTTCGTTGTTAAAATCATCGTCGGATATGACCGTAGGTGCTCCGATCTCCTTCTGAGGATGTCTCCAAGTGTTTTTAGGCCGGCAACTCCCATTCTATTCTGGCTGATATAACGAGGGATGGCTCCCCCATGGTTATCATGTCTGGCTACTCCAACTGGCACACCCAGGGTATGCAGTCCAGTGAAAAATCATTTTCCACGAAACTGAAAGACTCACAAAGAAGTAACAGTCAACAGCCAATTCAAATTCAGTAAAGACATTCATTTTGTCATGTTTTACTGGCAAACTGACCAGCCCTACTTCTTATCTGTGTCAATTTTTACAGACATAATTAGCATAGTGCATCAGGGAAAACGGGGAAAAAGCAGGAACTATCAAGATACAGTAAATTAGTTTCAAAACCAACTGACAAGCTGATTTAATGTGAGATGTTCATTTCCTTTAATACTGCTGTACTATGTGTGTACTACTACATTGTCTTAATGTTATATTACTTCCAGACTAAACGTTAGTTAACTGTATGAAAGCTTAAACAGGGTTGAATGTTAGACCAGTTTGCATTTTGATCTCAAACTTTTAGATTGTCAGGTCTTTCTTTTATCTTTCTTTACACAACTTACTTCTCTCATGTCAGCTGCCTTTGTTTGCTGTGGCATTTTGACAAATTTATCTATAATGTATTTATATGACTGATTTTATAACAACTATGCTGTGATTAAACTGTTTTGGTTGTTGCTTTTTTCTGTGTATGAGATGGTGTACGCTGTTGTGGTTTTTAATTACTATGCAGGGAATGATGTATGCTGGTACCCAGGTCACGAACGCCTCTAGTCACAAACAAATCGACCCACAAACACAATTTCTAAACAAATTGTGGCTCAACCCATGAACATTGCCTAGGCCCACAAACATAGCTTTGGACATCAGTTGTGCTCTCAACATTGTTTGTCATTGCACTTTTGTTGAAACCATTTTTTTTTAAATTAAATTTAAAATTCATTATGGCTCCCAAAAAAAGTGAAAAGTGCCAAAGCGAGTACTATAAAGAAGCCTAAGCGCTTTACAAAAGAAACTTCTTCTTGTTCTTCTTCTTGGCTCAATGACTGTAAGCTCCGGATAATTGAAAGCCCCAGTTGTTCATCCCTTTGGACTTTGGCTCTGTGCCAGGGCCTGAGTTTTGTGTGTTCATTCATTTTACTGGTTTATTTGTGAGAAGTTGGTTGTTTCTTGCCACTCTGGCTGATGCACTCCAACTTTGAAGGAAGCCCCCAATTAGTCAACTTCTACGACCTGCTTGTTGGGGAGACAGTGGGACTATTCTTGTTTTCGTCACAATAGGGCCCCGAAACCCATAGGGCGAACACACAAAAACAAAGAAGGAAATAACAATTAAGCATGAGAATCATGTTCATGTTTTTGATCTCGCCAGTTAGTATGACATGACCAAATCTACGATCTTTGCTATCTAAAAAAAAAAAATGGGCTAAAATTTTAGAAGAAGTAGAACAATTATTGTTGGCCACCAAACCAGCAATCGAACCACTTCTCAGGTTATAAACAAGACCAAAAAATATCAGAAATACTTAAACAGTTGGCTGACGTTATTATGGAATGGGACTCTCCTTGGAAGGGGTAGCCGTCCTCCTCCTCTACCATCTACCTGTGTCAGCAACTATTAACCACAAAGGTAAAGTTATATTGCATATTTGTCTCTCACATAAATCCATAAAAAGTTTTTTAATAAGTTTCTGACATCTGCGAACGGATTAATTGGATTGGCATCGATTAGAATGGGAAAAATTATTTTGGCTCGTGAACATTTTGGTATACGAACAATGGAGTCAACAAAATAAGTTCGTAACCCGAGTTACCACTGTAACAAAAACTTATAAAGGCACCCATCCCATTTCTCTGCCGAGAGGGTATGTCTG